GGGCTCAGAAAAAACTGCAACTAACAAAACAATGCACTGTATTGTTCCTCAAATCTTAGCGCTAGAAGAGGAAATAATCAAGTCTCACTTTAAAAAATATTCAAAAGACTACACTGAAAACTCCTCCTACCTCCTCACCAAGGCCTCAGGTTCCCCTCTTTAGAGGAAACCAGACTCACCTGAGTGAGAAGGGAGACCCAGGGCAGCCAACCTCTGGGCCCACGTCACGACCCTACAGATTGGGTCCCCCAGCTTCAGATGCTCACAGACCCTCTCCCTGCTATTATTTTTGTTTGTTTGTAGTACTCATCTCCACCTGAAATACTTGGAGGTTTCTTTGGAGTATATTTGGAGTTTTTTTTTTTTTTTCCATTCTTTCTGTTCCTCTATGTTAAGTTCAAAAGAGCAAGCTCTTCACCTATTCACCATTTTATCTCCAGCACCCAGAATAAGAGCTGGCTTGCAACTGATGGTCACATGTTTGTGGAAGGAGGGAGGGAAAGAGTAAATATACAGCTGAACTAGGAAGGGGCGGAAGGAACTAGAAATCATGGAGCGCTTGGGATGTGCCACAAGCATATGTGACGATGAGCATATGTGACGACGGTGCTGGGATCTGATCAGCTGTCTGGCCAAAGCCTGTGTTTGTTACCTAACTGGGAGCCTGGAGCTATTTAGACTAGCCTGGGTTGGACATCTCTGAACCACCACTTGGAAGCTGTGTGACTCTGCAAAAAAGTTAAATACTTTCGGCCTACCGTTTCCTCAAAGTGGCAGTAATAAATAGTCCTTATCTCTTTAGGACTGTTGTCAAGATGGACTAATTATGGCAAGTTACCAAACGGTTCACCAAATTTTGTGGCTCTTTTCCTCAGGACATGGGAGGTCTCCCCCACCTCCTTCAATCTGAGCTCTCCTCGGGACTTTTTTTTGGCTGAATGCCTCAAAGCAACATGCCTCAAGCAGAGGCTTGAAATGTGCTCGCCTCTGAGGTTGGCACTCTTCGCAGTTGCTATGTGGAGTCTCAGGGCTGGCCTACTGCATGGCGAGACTTACGGCCCTGTCTCCCCAGATACTTGAAGCCTACAGCCTGCTAGTCACCCCATGGTCTGCCACAAGATCAGCCAGTTAGGCAAGCCCAGTAGGTATCAGCCAAGCTGATACCAGAACTCCCCTGCCCTCCTAGAAAACTGTTAGAAAATTGTGACCCAAATAACAGCTGTTACTTTAAGTCAATACATTTTTTTTTCATTGTGGTGAAATATCCCATTTCAAGTGCGTAGCTTAGTAGTGCACTCATACTGTTGGGCAACCAACCTCCATAATGAAGCCACTCAGTTTGGGGACTGTTTGTTACTCAGTGAAAGCTGACTGATACACTGAGGTAAGAGACTTGAAGAGCTTAGCACAGTGCCTGGCAAACGTAACCCATTACTACCCTTACTAATTTGATTACTCACAGTATCATCTCCTGCCAACCCCATTCTCCTGCCGAATTTGTCTTCCAAAAACACTGGTTTCATTATGTTCTGCTTAAATCATTACCTGCTTTACTGAATACAGTTCAGCTTCTGGATTCCCACACAGACTTACTGAACTTTATACTTCTAGCTTACTTATTACTTATTCTTCAGTTTTACCCAGATTGGCTTTCTTATTGTTCCACACACATTGTACTCAGTCCTACCTACATGGCTTGGCTCACGCCAGCCTTTCCCATTTGCGGCCTTCCACCAACCTAAATCAAGTATCTCTTCAAGGCCCTACACCTTGCAAAGCACTTGTCTGAAAACGTTGTGCTCCAAAATTTTCCTACTTCACTAAAACTTCCTGAAATTGAAATGTACTTGAAGAATACCTGGCACTTTCTAGGTTATCTTACTTTTGTACTATGCTTTCCACGAGAGTGAATGTCCACTTTTCCACTGTGTGTTGTACACAAAGGTGTGTTCAACTTTTAGCTGAATCTGGATAATCCTCTGCTTAAGTTGTCTCCATGGCCCATCGCCTTAACAAGCAGCAAGGTGAGGTTAAGGCAAGAGCTGTGGGGTCGAACTGCCAGGGTCAAAGACAGGCTGTGCCAGAACACCTGTGGAACCTCAGGCAATTAATTAACCTTGCTGTGCCTCTGTTTATCTATAAAACAGGAAAAGTAATAGTAGCTTCCTCATAGGGTTACTGGAAGGTTTAAATAATGGATGTAAGGAAGTTTTTAAAATAGTGCTCGGCATATAGTAAGAGCTCAATAAATGTTAGCTATTATTATGACACCCTTTATCTAAAAGGTACAGATCTATGTTTAAAAAGTCTTTCAGCATGCATCAAGATCAAAGGCTAGGTCCTACCGGAACAGTCGGCAATCTGGACTGACCACAATTCCAAGTCCACAGCATGATGAGACAACTTAAAAAAGTCAATGAATACAGATGTAGGGGGAGGATGGGACGGTTTTGGAAAAGGACACTGCATTGGAAAAGGTCGCAGTTGTATCTGGACACCAGACTTCTTAAGAAGGAAATACAGTGAAAACTTAATATATAGTTAATCTTGGAGATAGATACAAAATGGTTTGTTATATAGTATTTTCAGAATATTTCTATTTGCTTGAAAAATTTTATAGTTAAAATACAATTTTTAAAGTTAAAGCAATCTTAAGCTATGTTAATTAGAAATACAGCATCCATAAGAAAGGAATTTTAAGTTCTGAAATGACCAGACCACACCTAAAGAGTACTATTCAGTTTTGGACACTAGATTTGAAAGGTAAAGAGACCAGATTGGTAAACATTTTGAAGAGTAATATATAGTAAGTAACTAAAGGACGCACAGAGAACAACTGGCTTGTATGTCAGTATTCTTAAGAGAAATTATGAGAATTCTTAAAATACTTCAAGTACTATACTACAAAGCAAGGACTGGACTCTTGGGTGGCAGGAGAAAACAAAGACTCAGACTCCAGCTCACTGAGGAGGGAACATCTGGAAGCCGGAGCTGTATGGAGGCGGAGCGGGCTGTCTCCAGGAGCAGGGAGGTACTGTCGCAGGAGGTGGTCAGGAGAGTGCACGAAGTGGATTGTTAGTATTTGTCTTAGGTCGCAGATCCAGATTCAGCTAAAAGTTGAACACACCTTAGGCCACAAATGTAAAAGAGTACATTAAATGTAAAAGAGAACATTTAAACAATGGACACTACTCCTGGCTCCAAACACACAAGGGTACAATAACACAAATATTGCAAATAATTCAGGAAAGGTCCAAAAACTCTTAGTAAGAATCTCTATAATTAAACAGACATTTATTGAGCAACGGACAGGAACAATTTAAATCTACTTCCCTTACACATCCTCAAAAAGATTAATCCCCTGCCTGGCCAGAATGATTTTTCCCTTCTCTGAATTTCCTTATGGCATTCACACATTTTGTCCCATTTACTTAAGTTTATCTTGTTTAAAAACCTGGTGGTTTCTTGAGGGTAGTGCACCCTTTGGTCACTAAAGGTACCTGAGACTTTGGGAACATAAAACCAATACACAATGAACTATATATAATGAGACTATGGGTCTGATATAAGGTAAAATAGTACTAGAAAAAATGGTTGAGGGCGATTCCCAGGTAACATGAAAAAGAATCTCACTACAGTCCCTTCCTAGGTTTTTTATCAAGTTTCACAATGCGTTATCGACCTGACAGGATGGTGAGCTCTTGGAGCATCCTGTTTGTCTATACATGCCATCCTAGCTGTACCCAGCATAATGCCTGGCACAGGGGCTTGATAAATGTCTGCCGACCGTCATCAGTGGCGGCACTCACTGAAGCTCGGCTTGAAGAATGAGAAGGACCTGGAGTCATGAGACACAGGGAAAGATTTTTTTTTCTGATGGAAAACTAAGGTGTTTTAGAAAAGAACACCAATTAAGAGTACATTTAAACAAAAAACAGCATTTAACTATGATATTTCCATTGGGAAAAGAATTCAAATTTTCTGATATAACCCACTGATTCAGCTAAGTGTCTCTATTAATTCAGTAATCACTTAAAAATAATTTCCTGGTTGGAATAAATACCTTTGCAGGCATTCATTTAACAGAGGAGACAGGAATGAAGCAGATTAAATATAAACAAAACCAGGTCCGGCCTTCAGGAAGCCAACGGCGTAGCTAATCAACTGACATACAGATAACTGGTAAGAACGCGGAAGACTAAATACGTGTTCATGAAAAGCTGAGGAAGCAGAGACTGATCAGACTTGCAGGAAAGAGAGAATCTTATGGACGAAGTGGTTCAACCACAAACTGGAAGGGTGAGCAAGGTTTCATTTCGGAATCGGTGTTCACGTGGCAATAGGTGCATGGTTTATTACGTCCACAAAACTAAGCCCTTTCCCACGTAATTTGCTCATGTAATCTCAGCTCTGTAGCTAACCTATTAGAACGCAGATAAACATCACTGCTCGCGAACATATGAGGCTCAACTACCTGACGTTTTAAGCACCAAGACAACTTGGGGAAGGGGTGCTGAGGACAATGGAACCAGGCCGGGGGTGGGGCCGCCAGACAGGCTGGGGTGTGCTGCCCGCAGGGCGAAGGGCTCCTGGGGCGTTGGGCACCGGGTCGCTGCGCCCCAGGCCTTCCGTTCCTACCCGGCAGGCCAGGCCCGCCGCCCGCTGCTGCGCGCAGCCTCCCCCGCCCCCGCTGGGATGCAGGGATGCTCGGCCCACCTGGTCCATCTTGGGAATCACCTTCTGCCGGCCCCCCATCTTGAAGCGTAACAGGTTGTAGAACTCCTCGGGGTGCCCCAAGCACTTCACGAACTCCATGCTGGCGGCGGTTAGCGGGGCTCGGGATTCACCCCGCAGATGCCTCGGGCTGGCAGCAGCCGCCACTACAAGGATGAAGCGGAGGCAGGGCGGAGGGCGGAGAGGGGGCGGGCCCAGCGCGGCGCGCCCCGCCCTGTTCCCGCCCACCTCAACAGGCCTCTGGCTCTCGCGCCGCTTCCCTTGGACCCGCGGGGTGGGCTGACTGGCGCTGACTGGCCAGAGCCACTCGCACCAGGAAGACGCCGGCCAATCGGCTGCGGGATGAGTCTGGCGTGACGACCACTCCGTGGGAGCTGACTGGAGCGGAAGTAGTAGGCGGGCGAACGGAACGGGATTGGTGCTTCTCGCGAGGCAGCCCTTCGTTTTCTTCTGCTCGCTCCGAGCGCGGGGGACCGAGCCCCAACGCCCCAAGCCCGCGGGCCGGCGCCCGCCACCTGTAAGGGCCAACGGGCCTGCCTATAAGCCCTCTACGCGGGTAGTCGTCGTATTTGTCCTGCCGGCTACGCTGGCTCCTCGGCGACGCGCTCGGCTCGCGGCCGCGCCCCGCCTGTGCGGGGTCCGCGCGCGGCTGCGGAGCGGGTGAGCCCCACTTCCCAGCTGCCGGTCTGTGTGCCGACACAGCAGAGCCCAACCCAGGTTACTCTGGAGGTTCGGCACGCGTTCCCCCTTGCCACAGAATGTCAGCTCAGTGATGACCGATCTTTGGTTCGTTCCCTAACACGCCCCAAAGCATCTAGAGTAGTGCCCGGCACATGCTGGGTGCCCAGGGAATACTCTGAATTGGGCCGCACCTGGGACACCTCCTCTCTGATGTCCCCAAACAGTGCAAACTTAACGTGCCCGTCCTCTTTCCCAGAGAACCTGCCCCTTCCGTGACTGGCACTAACAGCCTCCCAGTTGCCTAATGATAAGTCCAAATTACCATCCCTATATCCTCTCTCCCTCCCCAACCCTTTCTTTCCCTACTTGTTTGAAATCATCAATTCCCAGCACCTAAGAAACGAATGTCGCATTTTAATCTTGCTTCTCTGCCCCATCTTGGTTTAAACCACACCTTTTCTCCCAAACAAAATAATTTTGAGTTTGATCTCTCTCTGCATCCGTTCCCACGTGACAGCTTGAGTAATTTACCTAAAACATCCGCTTGACTATGTTGCTCTCTTGCCTGCAATCCTTCAATTTTAAATTCCTCCAAGGATATGCCTTTCAAGATAAAATTAAGGATTCTGGCATAGAATAAAAGCTCCCTCATCATTTGGTACCTGCATCCCCCGGTCCCAGTTTTGATGGTGGCCTCCACCAGTCACGTCCCACTCCCAAGCCCTGACCCAGCCCTGCAGCACTTCACTCCCTGGGCGCGCTGGCCAGAGCACATCACCTGCCCCAATGCCTTCCTTCTCTTCACCCAGCTTACCCATCACAGCTCAGGCGGAATCCCCTGCTTCAGGAATCATTTTCTGAGGCTCCCTGGCCTCTCCTTTTTCTGTTCTTTACATTCAACAAATATCTACTGAACACTGACTACGTGGCAGACCCTGGAAACAACAAAGATGAGCAAGACGTGGTTCCACCCCAAAGAGCTTCCAGAGACACCAGACCAGAGGAAGAAACAGACGCAGGGACCACGGGCAGGCTGCTCCAGGGTGTGCCATCGTGGCATGCAGATAATTGAGCTGAAAACCACCAAGGCCCCAGGTACTTGGACGTCCTACCCCATAAAAATAATTTAGACGGAGGAACTGACAGGAGGAGAGCTATTGCCAGAGAGCTAGATTATAATATAAACTCGGGGCAGACAGAAAGGAATGTGAGCAAGTCTGTTAAAATGTTTCTGTGCCTCATTGTTTCTACATTTCGTTTACCAAACGTTGTCTCTTTTCCTCATCCTGTGGATTGCTTCCCTCCTCTCTTGAAGCTGCAGCCCACCCCTCCACTATCTCCTTGTCAGCATGTCCTATACACCTCACTTTCCCTTTCTTCAGAATCCTTGTCTATGGCTGCCCCTTACGTATGTAATTCTTTTTTTTTTTTTCTATTAATCTGTCTCATGTCAATTTGTTTCTTAAACCTGCTAGAAAAACCTCGAGGGCCCAAGGAAATTTCTTACCCAACAGACAAGGCCAATGTGACAGTGCTATTTATTAGGGACATGACTAGAGCCTAAAGCAGCTCCCCGGGTCTGAGCTCAGTGCCCAAGCAGACTCTGCATTTACCAGTGGACAACGGCCAGGCCACAGACAACAGCAGAACTCTGACCTATAACCTCTGCTGCCATAGGCCCAGTATGGTCAGGACTTCGTTAAATGGCTTCTCTACACTTTGCCCCTATTTCTAACTCAGGACCAACCACAGAGAGCCAAATACGTTCCCCAAGCCAATCACAAAAGACACCGGCTTCTAGGCAGCCTGCTCCAGCTCCGCTCCCCTCCCCTCCAATCAGAGCACACCTGAGGCCTGCCTTGCCTTCACCATGAAGTTCCCTCTCCTGGCCGGCCTCTGAGTCTGCCAAATGCAAATGAGAAGTGACACTCGGGGGACACCCTTGCTTTTGCAAGCTCTGAACAAGGGGCCTCATTTGTTCTTATTCCAATGGTCTTCATTCCCGCCCCCCCCCCCCCGTCTCCGTACACCGATGGTCTTCAGTGGTTACTCTCATCCTGACGTTCTCTCGTCTGTCCCTGCCTCACTGCGAACCCTTAAATTAAGGTCAGAGATCATGTTTACACTAACACTTGGCACAGCGCTCGTATGCCACCTAACAAGCCTCTACTACTTTTCGTTGAATTGCAATGCCTGAAATCAGGACTGTACTGGAACTTGTGAATGAGGTGGGCAGCCACTTGTCCCCCCCACCCTCATACAGCACTTCCCCAAACCTACTGAAACACTCTTAACACTACTGCAATAAGCTGGCCTCCTCCTTTTCATATAGGGGTTTCGTGTCTTTAGTCTTGTATTCCCAAGCCTAGAGTTTATGAGACAGAAATAATTACTGAATGGCTAGGGCCACTGAAATCTAGTATTAAATACCAGTTTTTCACAATGTCAATCATGAAACTCCAGCTCATGAGATAAACCTTTCCCCTAGAATCTGCTGATTTCTCATTGGCTTCTTTTTCTCTTGTCCCTTAAATACAAGACTTTCTTCAAGTTTCCAATGTAATGTCCATCTTTCCACCTGCTACGTGACTGACCACCGTGCCATGAGGACAGCTCCTGAATCGGTGCCCCAGCCCAGCCTGCATCTGTGGGGGGCCTACTTCTTAATTTTGTGGTCCCCACAGTCAAGATCAACACGTCTCATCTGGCCTTCGCCCACAAACCCTACTTATCTCTCCCTATTGATCCTCCCCCACCCAGCAGCAACCAGTGGGTGGCCACCTCCATCTCTCAGGTGCACCTGGGCCATCTCCAGCCCCTTGGCCTCAGCCCTCATCCCCACATCGCACCAGCTGACACCTACAGAGCCCGTCCTGGGCTGACCCTGGCCTCCTCCTCCTTCCCACTTCCACTGCTGTTTCTAAGCCAACGCTTCTCTTAAAAAATGTAGCATTTTTCTCTCCTTTCCTACGAGTCACAGTGGGTGCAGTGGCACCAGCCCGCCATGTCTGTACAGCCTCCCTATCCTGTCCCCTCCTGTCCCCTGGACCCCACTTTTCTGATAAAATGTTGACTTATAGACACTGTCTTTGCCCCAGCTTATGCCTAGCATTTCATGCTTATCTGATCTCATATGAGTTAGAAAGGTAAATATAAATTAAGGGAAAACATTTATACATACACACACACACACACATATACATATACATATTTTCACATAAATATGTATAGGCATATGTGCAAGAGTGCATAGGTATATTCTTCTAGATACAAATAGCAATCTATTACTCAAAATACTTTCACAGCATCTGGTCTAGAAGTGGGGTTTTAAAACTAAGTTTTAAAAAAAAATAGGCATGTAGTAACTACATTGTTTTTTCATGTGAAACCTTCATAAGTGTATATCAATAGTACCTTAAGAAAAACTTAAATAAATAAAAAAAAATAGGCAGAGAGAGATGGCCTCTGAGAAGTTGAAGATTTTCTCTAAAACCCCTTTATTGAGTGTTACGGACTGAATTTTATCCACCTCTCTTACATGCCATGCCCTCCTCCCCAACACACACACACTAAGCCATGATGAGTATATATGAAAATAGGGTATTTAAAGAGGTGATTAAAGTTAAATGAGGTTGTAAGATTGGGTCCCTGACCCAACAGGACTAGTATCCTTCAAAAAAGACACCAGGAGAGCCGGCACCCAGAGAGGCAGCCATGTGAGGACACGGGGAGGGAGCTGCAAGCCAGGGACACCCGCAAACTCCCTGGCATTGACCTTGGACTGCCAGCCTGCAGAACTCTGAGAAATAAATGTCTGGTGTTTAAGGCCTCCTGTTTTGTGAGGCAGCAGCCCCAGATGTCTAACACATAGCTTGAGGCCAAAGAATCGGCAGTGCTGTGGAGTCCCTGAGGAATGAAGGTGCAGGATATGCAAAAGTGGCACAAGGACCGCAGGATGGACTTAGGTTAGACGTAGGGACATCACGTCTACCAGGGATCGCTGACACCGGTTGCAGGCAATAATCTGGAATGATCTGGAGAGAACACAGTGGACAGATCTTTGAACAGATTCAAATGACACTTGGAGAAGTTTTGGATCCTAATGGGTTATAACAGCATCTTCTGCACCGTGTTCCAAAGAGCAGTAAAGGTAACAGGGCTTTCACAGTAAAGTAAGGTTCAGAAGCAGAATAAAGAAAATAGTTTGCTTTACTGCAGAATTTCCTGGAGGCTTTAGGAGCTCCATAGAGCTCCAAGAGGAGAGATACAGCATTATTTGGTCACAGGACCCTTCATCTGTGAGTCATCAAAGCTGATGCATGGATCAGATACTCAGAGCTGATGGATCAAAAGCAACGTGGCTACTTCGAGACGTGCCCCTAATGTCAGCCAGGATGTTGGTGATAAGTGTGCACCCTTGGCTCTAGTGAACTGTGTGAACTTAATGAGACTTCTCTAGACTTCAGTCTCCTCATCAATAAAACAAAGACAGTGAGTCCCTTCCCCCATGGGGGTTTGTAGATTACACAGCCAGAACTACAGGGTCAGCAGTGTATAGGCAGCTCTTACACAGCACATAGGTCTGTTGTAAAGTGGCTTCCCACTGTTAGCAACTCTCAATGACTTAAGACAAAGAAGAGTCAAGGACAGCTGGAAATAACAGCCACTGTTGACAGTTTCGCTCACACACGTGACTCTTTGACAGGCCACAGTCTGGGCCAACAGACGTGAACTCACTGGTGCTTCACCAGCGCAGTGCACCAAGCGGCAGAGCGCACCGTGTGCTCACCCCCTGCTCTGCTCCCTCAGTGGATGCGTCAGGTTCCCTTGCAAATTCTACCAGCCACCTCTACAAGGAGCTCAGTTACTTACAGCATTAAGAGCCTTAAATGCCAAATAAAAGATGACAAAAGAAAATAACAAAGAGCTTTATTTTCATGTCACCATCCTAGTTTCTGGCTGTCACTAACAACCTTATTTCCTACACTGTTCAACATACCAATAATTACAAATATTTCACATTCAGGAAGAAATGAGGGGCTTTTACCTAAAGCCTCTGAGCACAGCAGGAAGGCGGCCAGGTCCCTGGTCCCCTGCTCCCACCCCTTCTGGCGGCTCCGTCCCGGGGAAAGGAGCCAGGCTGGATCTGACCACTACTCCCATTAAAGTCCATCTTCACCCCTGGACCCCTCGAGGGGAACAGAGAGAGACAACACATCTTCCCGTTTCTCAAATGGAGGGCCTTAAAAACCACCAGTTTCCAAAAAAAAAAAAAAAAAAGTCTTCTGGGGGCACAGCATTGGCCAGGCACTTCGTTCTCACTGCCCCACGGGGAGTTCTGCCCCGAGCTGTTGCCGTGATTTTTTCCCTCCCTCACAGTGGTAGTATTAGGCAGGAAGAATGAACCAAAACTAGAAAAGGACACACTGAACCTGTGACTCCTGTACATTAGACACCACCCCCGAGATGAGTGACATCCCCCGACCACCCTACCCTCCGGTTCCTGGACCCAGGCCCAGTCCTTACCCACACCTCCTCTCTTAACGTTCAGGCATCACTATCCCTTAAGGGCAAGGTCCCATGAAGAAAGGGCCCAGGTGACCTGGGGGAGCTGGGCTGCTCCGGCTTGTCAGGTGGCACCCGGGGCTGGCACTGTGGGCACCACCAGGTGAGCCTCTGGAAGCCACCTGGGGGTCCAAATGCTTCCTTCTTGACTTGGTGCCCAACAGGGCACCGCTCCTTCTGGTAGATCTGTGTGTGCTGCTGTTTGCCCTGGAATTTGCCCTGAAGCCAGTCCGCACTGAACTCTACCACGTGATCCAAGAGGGCCTCAAGATGAGGAGGACCGAGGAGAGAGCCCAGAGAGAGCGGGTGGATCCCAGCTCTGTATAAGGCTTCGTTCTTAATGATGTTCCCTGGAAGAAAGCAAGGAGAGGTCAGGAAGGACACAGGCCGTGTCCACAATGAAACCAGTCCGCCATGGGAACACAGCACCCCGCAGCTAGGGAGTGTCTCGGGAAGGCCTGGAGCTTCTCCGAGGGGTACGAGGGCTCTTGGGCAAGTTGCCTATTTTGAGTCAACCTTTCCATCTGCAAAGCAGGCTTGCTAACACCTTTACAGTTGTTGCGAAGATGAAATGAAATAAAACTCAGACATGGCCCACATGATAGCAAAAGGTTATCAAAACAGGCTCTGCAAACTGACTGCCTGGATTTGAATCCCAGCTCAACTGGATGCTGGTTATGTGACCCTGGCAAGTTCCCTACCTTCTTTACCTCTCAGTTTCCTTACCTGTTAAACTGGGATAGGTTACCTGGTTTTTGCGAGCAGTGAGAATTCCCTTGCACACACACACACATGCATGCACACAAATGCTGAGCAGTGTAGCTGGTCCTTAGAGAATACTCAGGAAATATGAGCTGTTATTATTTAAAATGTCAAGCATAATGCCTAAATATAGAGAGTGTTTACAAGGTTTTATGTCGTTATTTTTCTATTCCTTCCTGCCTTTGTGATGGCAGCTGTGATCCCTCCTTCCAGAATCAGTAACTCTCTTCAAAATGTCCCAACCGTGCCTTTTCTTTCACCTCTACCAGGCGTTTATCACACTTTATCTGAAGTTACAGTAAACTGAGCCCAGCCTTGCTGCCATTAACAATGATCCCTTTAAGGAGAGAAGGTGAGCTCAGTAGAGGGCAAGCATTCCGTGCACGTGGGCAGAGGAACGCCACGGCTGCCCTCTCCGGAGCTTCATAATCACACGGCTCCTCACCCATCACTGGCGGGTGACCCGCATTCACGTTTCAGCCACACTACTTACTAGCAGGGGATCCTTTGCTTCGGCTTCTGCATCTGAACAAAGGGCACACTAACTGAGCTACTATCCTCTGGAGTAACAGTGAGGATGAAGCCATGGGCCCGAACGTCAGTCACTTGAGTGTCTGCTATTATTTTTGTTGGCAATAATGACTAGTTAGGGCTTTAGCTCCTGCAACTCCAAAGGCCACTTCTGGAGGCCCTGGCTTCTCACGGTGTAGGGGCTCCCATGCTTCTACCACAAGAAGGCAAGCCCTGCCTGGTGAGCCGCCGGGCCTCCTCCTCACCCGTGAGGTGCGCCACACTGCGGGCACCACTCCCCACTGCCCAGGCAGCCAGTCACAGTACACTTAGTGCCCTGCTGTGGTTGTGACGCTGTTTCTGTAGGCCAGCTAACCAGCTGTTCTAGTTTTCAAACTGCTCAGCTCTGCCACCACCTCAAATGCTCAGTTCACATCTCAGGACACCTGCGCAGGGAGGGCACCTTCGTCACGCATGTCACAAGACACCTGTGCTCTGACCAGCAGGCAGCTCCATCTGCCCAAAAGGGGCCCCGTTAGCAACCTGCAAGGCCTTTGGCTCCTGGCAGGTACTGATCAAGCACCTCTTGGGTGCTAGGCACGGCACCAGGCAGAGGAAAATCCAGGAAATGAGACACGACCCTGTCCTTTAGGCGGCTGCATGCTGACATGGCCATCAGGCACATGACAGCTGATTTACAATTAGGCTGTGAATTCTGGAGCTAGGAAGTTAGAAATTGCCTAACTGAACTCCCTTGTTTTAAAAATGAGGGCAGTGAAGCCAAAGAGATGAAGTGATTGCCCCACAACCAGCAGTGGTGGTACACCTGGGGCGGGCTGCAGCTTGGGGCCTCCGGGATGGGGCTTTTCATTAAACAGCTCCATGGGGCCCTCCCTTTCCCATCGGTCATACCTAGGCCTGAGAAGTATCTTTGGTCCAACAGTGTATAGCAGACAGGCTGCTCCTGGCCCAGAGCTTCCAAGGCTTGTCCTCGATGGAACTTTCCAGACAAGATGTCAGAGGTGGGAATGACCACTGGGGAAGAGCCCCAAGACATCTGACAATTATAAAATGCCAGGAAGCCACCACTGCCAAAATGCAGGACCAACCTGGGGAGAAAAGAAGTGTCTTAAGTGCACAGTTACAACAGAATTGTCAGGTCACATGCACACACAGCTCCCATTCCACAGACAAGATGAACCCAGGAAAGCTGAGGTCTCCAAAGAGAAAACAGACAGCTTGGCCAGAACCATAAACATCCCAGGACTAAATGAAGTAATTAAAACAAAACACATACATTATTCCCCCCTTTTTCTGATCGTAGCAGTGCATGTTCACTGGAGACAATGTGGGGACCTTAGGGAAGGCTAATGCTCCGGAGGTGCGGCTACTAACACAGACACTGGGCAGCTAGGAAGGAGGGCAGAGACCTGCAGGCCAAGAGGCACCACTCCCAGCCCCAGGCAGCAGTCACACCAGCACCCACTCCCCTGGGCTTCCCGAGAGCAAGGGCAGAGGAGACACCCTGTCAGCTCGGATGCAGAAACAGCACTGTAAGAAGATAATCAGCCCGACAGACCCCACACCTGAAGAAGAGTCCGGTGTCTCACGCGGACATAAAAGGAGGACTTCGGAGCAGCAGGGGTTCAGGAAAACCTCTCCGCATAGTACCAGAGGCCATGACTCAGGGAAAAATATGCACCCCATGGAAATGCAATGAGCAAGGATCTCCGGCCAGGGGGAGAGGCGAAGGATGGCTGGGTTCTGTGCCCTTTACTGTGAGGCTGAAACGGACTGTGATTATGAGCGTGCCACTGAGAACTGGAATACCAGAAGAACTCTCGAAACGCAAGATACCTATTTTAACATGTTTCTAATCGTTAATTTGGTCATACATAATTAATAATGTAATACAGGTGATTTAAAAATCTGAAACTAAAATTTTGAACTAAGCAAATACACGAGAAGGGGTGGACATGAAAGCAAAGTAGTGAAGTGAAAATAGTTAGCTGATCGGAAAAATAAAGCTGTCAGTTGTTTCCCCAGCAAAATGGTTTTTTTTCAGGAATCGTGCAGCACTGCTACTCTGGACAAGCTATGGCAAAACCACAAGTATGACCCGAGAACAACGGAGAGGAGGCTCTTTATGAGGAAAGGGAAAGAGGTTGGGGGCTGTTCTAAGCACAAAGTCCATCAGAGGAAACTGCGGAGTCCCAGGTGTTGGGGCTGCTCACTGGCGGGGTTGCCACAGTCAGTCACTGGCTGGACTGTTGCTGGGGGAGGCAGAAATTTTTCCCTCCTCCTACTAGGAGGTAAAATAGCCAAAACAGTGTAAGTGGTAAGGCCCTGCCTCTTCCTCCCTTGGGGTCCCCAGTTGACCAGGAGTGGTGGGCCTTAGAGCTCCCCCTGCAGGCCTCCCCACGACGTGTCACTGAGGCGTCCCTTGACCAATTTTCACAAATTCAAAGGTCTCCTTTCAGAGGAGTGGACGGTGAGCAAAAAACCAGTTTCAATAACAAGGGAGAGGAAGGATTGTTGATGTAATGGTCTTACAGATTTGACAGTTATTAACCCGGAAAAAAAAAAGATAAGACTATTACCAACAGACTGAAGATGAATAGCAGCATTTCCAAATTAACGGGCTAAATGAAGGAAGAAACTTGATAAATCCAAAGAAGAAAAGGAAACAAGACACAATAAAATGGCAAATGTTACCAAGTCCAAATAACACAGGTACCCCTTTTCAAAATAGCGCTTCCGTTTGAGTTTAGAAAGATACAAAAGCCAGCCATTCTCTGTTTGTAAGAAACACACCTAAAATAGGTGAAAAAAACATACCTACAAGTAAGTGGGTAGAGACCAAGAGATGCACCAACCGAACACAGAGCGGCACTGTTAGCATCAGGAAAAGCAGAATTCAAGACCGAAGGCAGGGAGGGGGTCTGCTGCGGTTAGTAATGAAGCTGCAGAGCCCGGGGGGAGGCGGGGTCAGGGGCCTTGATGCCTTGGGTGGCAGGGCACAAAATACATAAACTAAAATGCTTAGAAAGACAGGGAGGAACTTTCTAGAACCACAACTGCCTGCGGGAACTTTAATGCTCCACTTCCCACACTGGGCGTATTAAGTAAACAAACAAAAGCAAGGATGGGAAGAATTTGAATTGTCAACGCAATAACCTGTTCCTAACATTTACAGAATGTTTTCCTTTAAAAGAACTTACTATCTTCCTTCATGTTCATAAACTATGAGCAAAGACCAACGCTGCATTGGGCTGCAAATCTAACAGATGCCAAAAATAGACAATGGACAGGCCGATGTCCTGACTGCAGTGCAATAAAAAAATGACAACAAAACAAGGACCCCAAACAAGAGAACGTTTGGAAAATTAGGAAATACTCTTCCATATAGAATGTATGAAACCAATTTTATTTATTTGAAAGGGCAACAATAGAGATAAAACTAAGGCAAGCCTAATTAAGAAGCAAAGCATAAAACAGGAAGAATGGGAAAGGAGCGAACTGAAAAGCAAGAGACTGCCACATGCGAACTCTGTGACAACACACGTGGAAGCCGAGGGCTGCGCCCTGTCAGCCAAAGAGCATTTCAACCGCCCTCGCCGGTGGCTAACTCAGAATCTGCCTGTGAGCTGGCTTCAGGCAGCAAGGGCTTTGCTGGGGGTTTCGGAGAAAGCTCTTTGCTCATCTGAACCTCTAGAAATGATCCTCTCTCTTCCTTTTCTCTCTTCTCTTGTGTGGACATAATGCCTGAACCTGCAAGAGCCTCCTGCTGCGAAACTAAGGACAAAACCAACAAGTGGGGAAGGGCAGACACAGGAGAACCACGGGAACATGAAGCCAAAAGCCAGGAACTGAGTCAACACCAAAGCCCACCTCCCTCTGAACTCACGTTACATGAGCCAAAAAATCCCTCCGCATTTTAGACAGTCTGAGTTATTTTACAGTCCAAGCATCTGCCTGTTCTGCATCATACCACAAATAAAGAGGGCAGTTTTGAACATGGAAAGATATAATTATGAAACTTTAGAAAAGTAGGTTGACTTTTGGGTAGAAGGGGCCTTCTGTAGCAAGAGAGGAAAACTTCAGGACTAGCAAAAGAAATACTGACCACCGACTATTTAAAAATTAAAAATCCCAAATGCAAAAAGGCACAAACACCATCAAAGTGCACGGACTCGTAGTAATACTGACACCACATATCACAAAGCACATTATCTAAAAGACCCTACAAATTGATAACAAGTGCACACACAGCTGAATGCTAGTGACAATTGGCTGAGCAAGGCCATAATGAGGGTCACTCTCTTTGACCAGCAATGACTCCTCTGGGACTCCACCCACACTCGGGAAATCTTCCGGAACACGGATAGAGAGCTCTGTGCACCAGGACAGTCTTCTCAACATTAAACAGATTACAAATGGGGACAATTCTGTCCCTAAATTCAGAGTGCACGAGTCAAGCCATAATGTTCTGCAGATTCTGCCCCCCATCCTCAAGGGCCAAGTTTACTGGGCACGTTCTCCCTCTGTGCTTGGCTGCCTCGGGATATTACCAGCCCTCTCTGGATGCAGCCCAGTCTCCCTTCCATTACGGGTACAAGGAATGTACCTGTCCTAGGAAGCAGGCTGCTGGAGAGCAGATAGGAGCACCCCCACCCCGCCCCGGGGGCGTGCCGTAGAGCCCAGCCCCAAGCCTGTACATGGGGGCCCAACGAATGCCACCGACCCTGCAGAGCACAGGCAGTCCCAGTCCCAGCCTGTCCAACCAGCCATCACCTGGGGACGGGGTCCCTCCAGTCGCCCCTCTTGTTGGCCTTCTTCGCCCTGGAGAACTCATTCACCCAAATGCTGCCGAACAAGCCAAAGCGGACCTGCAACCACCGCTCAGCACCTCCCGCAGGGCTGTCTGCCCCCAGACACTCAGAGCCACTGTCCCCAAGGGGGACAAGCTCCAGGGACTGGGAGGGCTGGGCAGAGGTTTTCTGGCCATTGGGCCCCAAGGTCTGCTTTTGTTCCCTGGTCGCCTCCTCCCTCTCTCCTTCTTGTAGAGGTTCTGGCAGTGGGTTGCTGCCAAGGGACCTGATTTCTTCATCTGGATCAAATCTAAGAAATAATTTCTTTCCGTGGACCTAGTAAAAAAGGAACATGATGTTAAGGCTTTGCACAGACCTGCGTCCACTACAAATGCATCTGTTCAAACCTAACCTGCAATGTGGTGGTATTAGGAGGTGGGGCCTCTGGCGGGTGATTAGGTCCTGATGTGGAGGCCTTGTGAATGGGATTAGTGCCCTTATATAAGAGGCCCCAGAGAGCCCCCTCGCCCCTTCTGCCAGGTGAGGATACAGCGAGAAGATGGCCATCTATGCACCAAGAGCCCAGCTCTCACCAGACCTCAATCTCCAGAGCTGGAGAAATAAATGCCAGTCGCCCATAGCACCCCCAGTCCGTGGTGTTCTGTTACAGTGGCCCAAAAGAACTTACAGAGCTGTAGGGACCCAGAAGAGAGGAAGAGGTACATGCGGACATTTAACCTAATGCACATTTCTCCCTTCGTGCCTCGTCCATGAAGCTTTCCCAAGTTATGTATTTTAGATTTGGCTTTTGCTCTTTGCTTCAGTGGCGTGGGCAGTTAGGACATGATTTCACAAGGTGACTGCGAGCAAGTGGAAGATCAGACTGGCAATGAAACAGATCCAAGCCAGACAGCAGGGCCACCCTAGGATTTCTGAGGAGAAACGCTCCCCATGTTTTCGTGGATTAGCTAAGAAATACACACAAATTGTCTCCAGTAGTATTCGATTCATAATACTTTGGGAGAAATAATCAGCACACGCCCACATGTGTCACACACAAACTGACAGCAGCTAAAGACAACACATTATAAAATTCAGTACCTCTCACCAGCCCCAAAAATGGATTTGACAGAAGTAATGGTCACAAGAGAACTCACAATAAAAAAGCTATAGTCAGTAAAAATGGACCACTGACACAAAAGTTGATCAGTGAGTCAAACCATCATTGTAAAGAAAAGAACAGTTTCAGTAAAAGTGAGACTAGGAAATGTATATAAAGGAAAAGCATGTTCCAGCCGCTTTGTATTCTATTTTCATATTGCTACCCTAGTGTATAATGTGTATCATGCCTGGGGTTCAAGAAGCAATGCATGAACGTCTTGGCATCAATTCCAGGGGAGGGCGGGATGTGCCGAAGGAGCCAGCCCTTCTGTGTGCGGTATGGCACAAGCCCACCAGAGATGAACTCACCTGGGCATCCTGGAGCCACAAGGACTGAAAGCCAGCAGGGATTAGCTTCTTACTACTGCCCCCTGTCCTGATCACCTGCTGCCCCACAAAAGGGGAGACCAAGTGGTGAAACTTCCTCACAGAAGGCCCTTCTGGCATCCCTGCAGGCAGACATGGAGAAAGGAGACACTGTCTTAGCTGGTTTCTAGCCTTTCTGATGGGTGCTAAGCCCCAAGCTTTCAAGCAGCTTCTTTTTGCCACCAACTTTAAGAGTACATATGGCCAAGAAGCATGGCTGGGGACGGGGACAGCTCAAAGAGAAGGGCCAGCGGCGGCAGGCTATGGGCTGGGCCGGTTCCGGGGCATGGTTTCCCTTTCCAGCCCCTTTCACTTTGCCTCAAGCAGCACACACTTACTACGTACCAACAGTGTGCCAGGCGTCATCTCACGGCACCCTCCACTGTGATCCTGCCACAGGATCACAGTGGAGGGTGCCGTGAGATGTTACTTTCTGCCTGGGCTGTGGGCCCCTAACTCATCTTCACGCTTTCTGCCCTTCCCCTTCCCTCCCAAACCAATCATCCCACCCCACTGCTGCTGATTTACTTCCCCCCTTTTAAGAAAGAAATGGTCATGGAAGAGAAGGCTGTACGGGCCACAAAGACAGATGTGGACCCTGCCTCCCAGGACCCCCTGCTAGTAGGTGTGTGTGTATTTGACAACTTGCGGAGCTAAGAATGACAGTGCACACACAGGGGCCTGTCGGTTCAGAGCAGGGAAGGGAGGCATCCAGCTTACTTGCAAGTAATTATCCCTGTTTACTGAGAAACAGCTGGGGTTCCGCTTTAACCCGGACGTAGTATTATCTGTGACCTCCATCTCTCCCTGCCCCGAACCATCCAGGTTTGCGCATGAGGCAGGCAGGTGTTTGAGCCGGAGGGGTCTGCACCCTGGCTTCGAGGACACAGGAGAAGCCCCCACCCCTTACCCAGGGCACATTACTTAACATGTTTCCTCACGCCCACTAAACTCTAAGTTAACAGAAAACCCACAAGACTAAGTACCTAACATGATGGTAGCCATTGCATTTCAGCAATTCTAAAAAACACTTTAAAAATCTCTGAAATGGGGTTGCTCTTACAAGCCACGCTTTCTCATAGCTCAATTAGCACATTCAGTAATGTGTAAACTTAATAGTGCCTTAAATTCCCTGAAATGCAGTATTTCCCCTAACCAGACCTTCAAGACACTCAAGAGGCTATACTGACCAAACAGCAGGGCTGCAAGGACACCCCAGGCCGCAGCCGATCTTTAGGGAACCAGCGCTCTGGGCCCGCGTCATTTCCAACCAGGAAACCTTCCGGAAAGCCTCCCTGCGAAATGCACCTAATCCTTAAAATCTTTAGACACACGGCTGTGCTTCTTTCAGGTATATTCACGTAGATAGAAAGCTTGGCAGCAAGTTGCTTCGACCACAGCCTTTGGAGCTCAGACCCGGAGGGACGTCCCTTCGGCGGGGAACCAGCCTGCCCTCAAACCCCGCCCTCCCGGACTCAGCGGCAGCAGGGGAGGGGCGGCCCCGCTGCTCCCGGCGGGGGAATCACTGCCTCGGAGCGCCCCCGGCTTCCCCGGGAGAGAGGCGGGCGCAGAGCCGGGACCCGAGGGCGCGGGGAGCCCCCGGGGGAAACCGTTCAGGGCGCGCGCTCCACAGGCCCACTTCTGGACGTTCGGCCTTCCGGGTTTCCCCGCCGGAACGCGGGGAAGGGGCCACAACGCGCAGGCAGCGCAAAGCTCGGAGGCGCCTCGGGAGGGGCGGCCGCGGAACTCACCGGCTCTGGCTTGCGGCTCTTGGGCGGCCCGGAACCGTGCACAGCGGCCGGAATCGCGCCCGCATCCGCGCGGGGTCTACCGGGTGGGCGCGGGGCTCAGTCCGAGGAGGGCAGTGCGAGGCGTGCACGAGGTTCCCCAGGGGCGGGGCCCTTAGGGGCGGGGCCCGTCTGTGGGCGGGGCTCAGTCCGAAGCGGGCAGTGCGAGGCGCGCGCGAGGCTCCCCAGGGGCGGGGCCTGTCGGTGGGGCGGGGCCCGCCTGCAGGTGGGCGCGGAGCTCGTCCCCAGGAGGGCTCGCGGGGCTCCGTCCCGCGGCGAGGAGAGCGGGATGACCGTGAGGCTCCTCCCACAGGGTGGGGCGGGTGAAGCTGGGCTCCGCCCACTGGGTGAGCGCAGGAGGCGGGGCTCGCCCGCAGTGGGTGGGTGCGGGGCTCCTGCCCTAAAGGGGTCGCTCACGGCCTGGCCGTCGGGTAACCGGGATAAAAGGGGGGAGTGGGAGGGGCGCGGAGGAAAGCTGAGTCCGAGCAGACGGGGCGAAGAAGCAAAGCGCCCCGGAACGTTTATCTTACGAAGACAATAAGGTTATGGAGAGAAGCGGATTAACTGCGGAATAGGAGAGCTTTGTCTGTTCGGGCAAAGGAAAGGCAAGGCTCGGAGTTGGTTTTTCTAGGCTTCCAACCCTAGTGAGGTAATTATGAAAAGGAAACAGGCCGCCAAGGAATTCTAACGAATGTTGAAAGGATTCGATCTTTTACTTATAATTTGAGTATCACTATTTGAATTTTGACCATAAGCAAATACTACTTTAAAAGTAGTACTTGTTTTTTATTTCAAAGAACAAAAAAAGTAGACTATTTAAAATAAGTACGTTCCCGTTTTGCTAGCTCCCCAAGAGGACAGGGAGGTCCGGGGAAGAGCCAGAGCAGATGCCCCAGACCGTCCAGGACAGCAGTCACCGAGCTCCAGGGCCCTGAGGGCGCGGCCAGCACCGAGAGACGGGCCCGGGCCCTCCTCAGGTTGGGGCCTGCCAAGTGAGGCGTGGGGGCACAGGTGGCCTTCTGCTGAGGAGGCTGGGGGCGACCGCGAGGGGAGGAAGGTTACGAAGGCCTGGGTGCAGAGGGACCCCGGCACAGACGGGATGAGGTGGGAGGCAGGGCGTTTCTTAGAGGGACCCCCTGTGAGCTTGTTGGTCCCCTGTATGTCTGTCCTCTTCTGGAGAACAGCATCTCCACCGCAGGATGGCCGCTGCTATGGGACAGGTGCACCCCAACTGTAGTGTCTGGAGCCCTTCATTTCCCACTGTAGATTCTGGCCGAGCTGGCAAAGAAACCAGAGCCACTCTCCTTGCCTCACCTCTTGAACTGAATGGCTGGCGCCTAAGGGGGCTCTGCTGAGGCCACATGGTTGTAGGCTTGGGGAACCAAATGGCTCTCAGCTTGAAACAGACATTACTATTGTTGAGCACATACACTGTGCAAGATGCTGCTCTAAGTTCTTTACATGTATCACCTCATTATTAGCTGTGGGAAGATAAGCAAGTCATACTATGTTTGAACTTACATGTGTATTAAGCGGGACATCTATTTCATGGTGTTCTTACAGAAATACTGTAAAGCAGGGCTTCTCAAACTAAACTGTGCACTTGAGTCACCTGGGAAACTTGTTTCAATGCAGATTCTGACTCGGGTTTGTAGCAGTGCCCAAGATTTTGCTTTTCGATCAAGCTCCCAGGTGTTGCTCCTGCGGAAGCTGGTCCGAGGACCACACTTGGAGCACCAGGGACTGAGCACAATGCTCGGCAGTTGGCAGGCACGCAATAAATATTCTTTTAATGAATGATTAAGTGAGATATTGGATACAAAACAGTCAAGCAGTAAAATGCTGTGCAAGTGCGGTGTGATCATCGCTGTAAGACTAAGGCTGGGGAACCTGCCTGGAAAAAGCAAACCTCAGAAGAGTAATTACAGAATAGCGGTGAAGAACGCTATGCCTGCATCAGACCGCCTGGGTCCAAATGCCGCTGCTCAGCAGGCAGAGCTTGGGCAAGGAATGTAACCTTTCTGTACCTCAGTAGCTTCATCTGTAAAATGGAGTGAAATGCCTACCTCACTGGTCTACTGTGGGATTTGTTGAGATGATTCACATAAATCGGTCAGCACCAGGTTTGGTTTACAGTATTATCTCAGTATGTTTTAGTTACTATTCACCTCCTGCATGGGGGGGCACCCGCAACGCCCACAGGAACCTGTGCCTCAGCACTAAGGGGGTCAGCACCCAGCTTCGTAAGGGCCATGGAGCCAATTCCACCCTCTTCCTTTGTGCCCCCGATTTCTCCAAAGGGTTAAAGTTAAAATGCACTTGAAAACTGATTAATATACAGCCACCTCTAAGACAGCAAGAAAGGAAGGGAAGAAGAAAAGCAGTAGGATCCGTGAGGAATGACCTGCCAATGACCGTTTGGGGGTACTGAACTGCATCTGGGGGTTTCATGTGTCTCTAGAGCCCCTAGGGGGCACCGAGGGCTGAGTGGGGCCCCCAGGTCTATTCCAAGCGCTCCTCTTTGGGGCATATGACACCTGTTCCCCAGTGTTTCCAGGCCTTCTATCATGTCTGAATTGGGAGAATTGGGAGTATTTGCCACCAAGGATTCTCCCCAACCTCTAGAAAGATGTTGAAGGACTTCATCTTGGAATGGGACCTACACCCAGGCTGTGTGGGGTTTCCAGGTTTCAGGTTTCCACCCTTTAGGAGGGACAGGGGTGGGTGTAAAAGCCCAGGGTCTGGAGTCAAGTACATGTGGTCTGAATCCTGAAAGCACACGTACCAGTTCTGTGACCCTCAGCGAGTGACTTAAAATCCATGGGCCGTATTTTCATGTGCACACCGAGTTTACGAGGATAAATAAATACTTTATGTGATACGTAAAGGTACTAACAGCGTCTAGCGTGCAGGAGTGCTCAATAAGCAGTAAGTACTTGTTAAAGCAGAATTTCTGGGCTGATCTCAGATGGTTTGAAAATCAGACTACCGTCTTCTGGAGGCCACGAGAACGCCGGCGCCCCCAAGTGGTGAACGCATTAACTGCACGGACAGGCCTTTATGCCAATCTCAGGGCCTCCCTCTGAGGGTTGGGGCCTTCCTCAGCCAGGTGTGGGCCTTGGGCAAGTTCCCTCAACAGTGATGGGACAGGAGGGTTAGAACCAGGGGATCTCTGAGCCCTCATGATATGTAAATGAGTCAGGCATGGTCTCCCGATCCAGGCTTCCTTTTTCCTAGTGGGGTTTAGTTTTCTTTCCCATCCATTCAGCTCTCCAAGGCCTGCTACTGGAAACCTTCAGAACAGTAGCTTCCACATATCCTCAGCAGCCTGGGTGCTTATACACCTGCAGACTCCAGACCCATATCCTCCTGCAAGGAAGAGGCTACCAGGAATTCCTCAGCTCTGTCCTTGTGCAAACAGCTACATTTTAGACTATAGAATTCCTGGGCACTTAGAGCAGTGCCAGGACTCTTGACAATTGCCCCAGGACTGTTCAGTTGCTTGACTTAATAGCTAAATAGGAAGGATTACTCTGGGCCCACCTTGAACCACCAAGGGCCAGGACACCCTAGACAGAGGCTGACCTGTCCAATTTGTTCAACACAGCCTTGCAGCACTGGGCGAACCCAGAGCTGAAAGCTGGACTTCTTAACCTGGGGCACATGGAGAGTGTTCCAGAAGTCATAACACCTCAAAGGGGTGAGTTGTATGCAAAATCTCAGACTATGCATCTCTTTCTGGGAAAGTAGACACAGTTTATGTTACATTTTCAGAGAAGTGTGTGACCCCAGAAGGTAAGAACCCCTGCCCCAAACTGCAAAGCTGCCCTACTTGGAGCATTCTCTTTGCAGGTCCCAGGGGGGAGCCTGCGAGGAGTTCCAGGCCCGTGACCGGCAGTCCCTCTGGACCTCCTCAGGGCAGCTAAGTAGGGAGGGAAGAAGCCTATGGTGTTTGATGGGTTGAAGAAAACACACCAGAAAGAAAGCAATTAATAGGTTAGCTAGTCCTAAGTAAGTAGAAAAGCTTCTTTGATTTTACAGAGAAGAATGGTTATTACAGGTTTTTTTCCTTTATCTGCTCAAAAATGAAAGAGGAACTGTGGAAGGTCAAAGGCTACCAGTTGTCCGACGGGTTTGGATCAGAAGCAGCTCCCATGAACAGCTCTGAATGGGATGGATCTGCCTGCGTCGGTCCCATGCCACAGGCACTGACCGGAGGGAGGCCTTAGAACCATCGTCCCCCACTGCCACCCCCGTTTAGGGAGAAGCAGTTATGCAATTCTGGCCTAAGAAGGTGAAGGTGAAGCGGATAGAGGAGTTTCATCTCCCCTCCTCCTGGTTTGGAGCATGACTGGCCCCTCTAGGGGCTTGTTTGAATCAAAAGTTACAGCAGCGGAAGACGGCAGGCCCAGCTCAGGGCCTTAAGGCGGGTGGGCTGGAGAGTCCAGTGCCCACAGCTCTGCCTCAGGCGCCAGCCCCTGGTGTCCCCAGGCGAGCTCTAAAATAGCCCCCTTCATTGGTGGCAAGGGTTGGGCCATAGGAGCTGTACTTAATGGCTCTCTTCCAGGAAACCAAGACCTTCAGGTTACCTGTCAAGGTGGCAAACCAGCCAGGAGCAGGGCCAGCGTGAGTGTTCTTTTCACGAGCCCCCGTCACAAGCAGAGAGAGTCCTGGCCAGCTGCCAAAAATGACGGAGGGGAGCAAGTGATGTAGGATGCAGCCTGTGAGGGGCTGGGCGACGGACGGCAGGCCTCTGGCTCCAGCGCCTTGCAGAGTCAGCAGCGAACCTCCCAGGGAAGACCTCCGAGGGAGGAGAAGAAGGGAAAGACTAGTACAGATAAATTTATTAGTTAAATACTGATTTTACAGCCATTTCACCTTAAGACAATGTTAACAGGTTCGTGGTTAGGGAAGGAATATGAGGGTGGCCTTCTTGGAAGAAAGCAATATAAATGATTAAAACAGAATCTTGGTTTAGAAACATTCTCTGCTACAGTCAGGATTTTGGGGTGGGCGACTGGGTGTTTGAGGGGAGGATGTAGTAAGGCCACAGTCAGCGACAGCTCTACCGATGACCAGGACCAGGAAGAGGTCCTTGTGAGCCCCGGCACCCCGGGCAGAAACAGCGACACAGCCAGAGAAGAAGGCCATTTCCAGAAAGGCACAGAGCCGGGCTCCCTGAGGCCCTCCCTCAGTGTCTTCTCTACTTGGTCGTCATCTTTCCATGAGTATTGTTTTGTTGCATTTGTTTGCTTTGAATTTATGTTGCAAAATCCCTAGCTTTTTGCCTTCTGGACAAAAGATTTATGCTGGGGAGGGGATGTGGGCACAGGCCCTCTGCACCCCTTGGACGGACTTGGCCTGCCATCTGACCGAGAGGCGCATCTCTGTGGAACAGCGGCGGTGCCAGGAGATCCGAGCACAGGTGAGCCAGAGTCCACCGGACGTCCCTGGCTCCAGCCCGGGGACGGTGTCCACCAGACATCCCCTCCAGAGGGGTCTTCAGTCCTACATGAGTGTTTGTCCAACACGCTCTAGCAGCAGAAGTGGTTTGTTCTTACTCAGAAGCCCCTGGGTGTGATCGGGTGGAGAAAGGATCTTGGTGGGGGCTGCTGTTCGGTCGAACTGCCAGCACTCGTTTTCCTGGGAGGGAGACGTGTTCAAGCTGGAGGCAGAGCTGCGTCACTCAGAGCGGCGGGAGGGGTTTTTATTTTTAAGGCCTTGTGTGTAGAGAGAAGGAGCAGAGGGCTGAGGGCATCGGCCGGGGTTAGGAGCCAGGGGAAGCCAGGGGCCAAGCTGCGGTTCTGCAGAAGCCATACTGGGGCGGGAGGGGCGGCCCCTCCTCCACCCCCAGGAAGCATTCAGCAACATGGGCGCCACACCAGAGGTTCTGGAGTCAAGATCTGGCATAGAGGGATGCGGGGTGTGTGGACCTAGGGCGTGTGTGGCAAGCCCAGGAGTGTCACAGACGCCCTGGTTCAGGCCAGAGCACGGGCCCCAGGGCCCTGCCTCTCCACCTGCCCTCAGGCCCAGAGATGGGGAAGCCATGGACGAGCCACCATCTCAGGCCGTGGATGGGAGATGGGGGATCCTCTTTTGTAGGGGCGGGGTGGGTGGGAACTGAGAAGGAGGTATCTAACTCAGCCCGAGGGACTCGGGTGCACTGCAGGGAAGGGGGACCCCTTCCAGACCAGAAGCTGGGCTTCGCTGTCCCCCACCTTGACAAGGCATCTGACAAAATCCAACGTTTGCTTCCCCTAACCAAATCAGCAACTTCAAGTTTCTTCCCAGCTGTTCTTCCGGAGTCATTCCCAGACAGAGCAGGCCGGCGCCCGGGAGCCCGGAGCCTCGCCTCTGCTGCCCTCCAAGTCCCAAGTCCGTGCAGGAATCTGAGGGGGGAAGGAGGTGACATTATGCGGTGATTATGTCCCCATGACTGTCAGCCAAGGCCAGGCTGTTCCAAGGGTCCTGCTTGGAGCTGGCCTGCGGCGACTGGCTCACAGAAGACGCGTAGCCTTGTGGGGAGAGCTTCAGGGCTGAGAGGACCGGGTGGATGGAGGGCCCGTGGCTGGACATCGCACTGACAGAGAACGTCTGAAAGCAGAGAGCGCAAGACGAGGTCAACAGAGTCGCTCCTGAGGGCTCAGGAGGGGAGGTCCGGGCTGGAGAGGGGAGCCCCACTACGCAGATGCCCCCCAGCCGGCTCCTACGTGCAGAAAGAGTGGGCCAGGGACCAAGCTGCACTTCTCTCTGCCTGTCCCGCCCCCCGTGCTATGGGCCGTAAGGCGTCTGTGTTCACCAGCTGCTGATGAGCACCGGGACCCAGCAGATCTATAATATTCCGGTTTCTCTGCAGGCTCTGAGGGCTACACGAGACACTTCCTACGATCTCATCATCCTCAGAATCCCCGCTTTCAGGCAAGCTGCCCTCCCTGCTGGAAGGGGCTCGGGGCTGTCCTGATTCTGCGGGACCAGCTTTTGTGCCCAAGGGTCAGAAGCTTATCAGCACACAGACGCTCTCAAGTAGGTGCAGAGAGCAGGTCAGAGTTCACGGGAGGTGGTGACCAAGCCCCAAGCATCCTGATCCTGAATTGGGGACCTACACAGGGGAAGGGTGGAGAGGCAGGGTGTCATTGTACAGGGAGAACGGAATGAGGCCACTGCTGGCCCCGTGTCTGGGCACAGGTATGAAGCTGGACCTGGCACAGCCCTGCGTTCAGTGGCACCCCTCCCATGCCCTCATTACCCCCAACTGACCCACCCTGCCCTCTAGTTTCCATGCCTTCGTCAATGCCAGGAGGGTCCTCCTGCCCCTCCTCCTGTTAAAATCAACCTGTCCTTCAAAACCAAGGTCAAAGCATCCCTCCCTCAGGAGACAGACTTGCCTAGAAAGCCCCCACGCCCCCTCCCACAGCCCGCCCCAGCAGTACCCCAAACGCACACAGTGTGATTCGAGTTGTAACTGTGTGTCATACTGTGTGCCAGCCCCAGGCCCCCTCCTTGTCTACAAAGGTCCTGGTGTGGAGGGGCTGCCAAACATCTGCGTGTTGCAGTGCTGTATCCAAATCACCATAGCTTCCTCAGATGTGTGGAAATGCATCCTTGTACAGCCAGCCCCCCAGCCTCAGGACACCGAGCAGCTCTGGCCGGCCACCTGCTGGGGTCTGGCCGAAGCTCCTGCTCCAGTGCTGGCCTGGCCACCTGATACCCTGGGCAGTCCCGTCTCCCCGCGCAGTGGTGTACCTGGGACATGGAGCTGCTGTGCCCGTAGTGGGACGACAGCCCGGGCTCTGTCTTGATGGGGCGCATCTCCTCGCTGCTGCTGGTGGCCACACTGCTGGAGTTGCTGGAAGCAGTGCTGGCGGGCGGGAGGCTGTCACTGCCCGAGGGACCTGGAACAAGACAGAGTCAGCACAGAGGCAGGGCCAGGGGCAGGGGCAAGCGGACGGAGGGAGGTCCTTTGGGATGGCCAGGGAGGGCCCGCGCTAATGGCTCCACTTACATTCGCTGGGGGAGAGAAGCAGGGCCATGGTTCCCCAAAGGGGCCAGAGGTATCAGGACTTCTAGGGAAAACAATGGGCTCACCACCCCTTATCCCAACCTCTGGAGGCCATGCGCTTCAGGATTCAAAACTTGTGGGATTTTTAGAAAGGGTGAATACTGTATATTACAGAATATCTCCAGCAAGGTCTGGGACAGCACCTCATCATTAAACACATTAATAATTCTACAGCACAAAGCATGAATGTTCACATGGGAGACAGAAGACCCTAAGTAGCCTCTGTTCAGATTAGGTTTTGCTGCTGAATCTTGCACATTTCCAGTAGGGGATTGTACGCCTGAACCAAATGCCAGCTCTCCTCGTGGCTGCAGCATGTAAGGGGATAAAGTCACCAAGGGGAATGTGCTCTGTGTTGGAAACAGTGCGGGACAAAGGCTGAGGATCCCTGGCATGAGATGCTGAGAATTCGGAGCGGGCATGACTACCAGAGGAAGGGGAGACCACTGCTGAGTGCCCCCCGCAGTGGGAAGGGGAAATTTATCTGACTTTGTCGTGGCTTAGAAGACAGACTTTCCATCAAGTCAGCTGGTTTATTTTCTCTGTGGCTGCAGCATTTCCCGTGAAATCTTTAATTTGGTAGCTAGACTGAGAGGGGAGAGCTCCTCATATGAGACATAAACCATCCTCATTCTTGATCTGGAAATTGAGAAGGCACCCTGAGTCCTGAACAGAGTATAGGACCCCAACGTGTGAAAATGTGGCTTATAATTCCAGACCTACCCATTCACAACTGTATGCCTCAGATTAGGTCATTACCCTCTCTGAGCCTTGTTTTGCTCATTAGTAAGACGGGGATGATAAACAGGGTCTCAGGGCTCTTTAAGGACCAGGGAGGGCATTTGTGAAGGAGCTCTCTTACATGCAAAGTACTACAGGATGTGAGCTATACACTGGCCAGCAGATTAAATCTGTCATGAACATGACTAATGGGACCCTCTCCTTCTAGATCCCAGGCAGCCAACAAAAGTGGAAAGGAACGGAGTTCTTGAGTGGTTGCAGCGCAAAAGATGGGGGTACAAATAACGCTCTTTTCTCCTCGGGCCCTCAGCCAAGTCAGCTGGCCCCTGCAGGCTTTGCACATGGCAGCAGTCAGGCCACAACGTGAGCTGAGCCAGCTTCAGAAGCTCTCCACATATTCCACAGAGATCTTACTTTTTCACTGGGTTATTCGTTCCGTCCTGAGTTGCTGGGACTGGACAGGGCTGCTAGACCCCGGCAGCTGGGGCTGGCCCGCCTGACCAGGAGCGACTCTCACACACTCCAAGGGCTACTGAGTTATTCATATAATCACACACAGGTCTTGTCCTTACCTGCTGGTGTCTTAGATTTATTAAGGTTCTTGGGCTTCCGTTTTCTGGTTTGAATCCCTTCTTTCCGCATTGCAAGGGGCCTGGGGACCTAGAGGGTCACAAGTCAGTTTGTATGATTTTCCATTTATAAGTGATCTGCGGCAGCATTTAACGTGCACACACACCGTGAGAAGGCAACATCTAAGCAATTCCTCTACACACCTCAGGGCTAAGACTATGCACATTGGCCCCTGAAACAACTCCTGCTGAGAAAGAAATCAATTCTATTTTAAAAACATATTGAGTACCTAGATTACATGCTGGGTATCAAACAGGCTCAAAGACACCATTTCTTCCCTCCAGAAGTTTGTAGTTTAGTAAGAAAACAAATAGAAAATAACCAGACTCTTAGGTGATGTGGGAGAACAGAGCAGAAAAACTAAATTCTGTCCTGGGTTGAGGAAAAGGGGAAGTGACACAGGAACCTATCAAGGAAGGCTTCACTGGGGAGGTGATCTCTAAGTAGTGGGAGGTTGCCAAGGAGACGAGGGGCAGGCATTTCAGGCAGCAGGGACAGTATGTGCAGAAGCGTTTAATTTTTCAGCCACCCCAGGACAGTGTGACACTGAAACAGGGGTTCCATTAATAATTATGCCAAGAAAAATACGCATAAACTGGGACAGTCCCAGTGAGCTGAGGCATAAACTCATTCTACGTAGAGCAGCTCTGCTCTGCACTGCACTGATCTGGCTGGAGCAAACGGTGGTGTGTTCCTGGGTGTGAGGGGCAGCAAGAGGCTGTGTTGGGAAGGCGGTGGTGATCTGACGTAAACTGTCTGTGGACAATACTTTTATCACATTTGACTTCTCACAAATATGCAGCAACTCAGGCATCCTGCTCCCGAGCCATTCACAGAAGCCTGAACCAGGGTCCAGCAGAAGGCCTGGTGGGCCGTCTCTGCAGGATGTTTAAATATGGCGCCTTCTCACAGGCTGTTTCTTTAAGGCAGGCCAGCCAAATTTTTCAGCCCCTGGTCTGTGCTTGTCTACAATACAGGACCCGTAAAGGCCATACTGCAAATACTGAAAGAAAAGCAACGACCACTTCAGAATGTGAGCAGGGTGGTTAAGGCAGAAGTGCACCGTCCTATGTGAACCTGGACTTGTCCCCTAGCCCCCCCAGAGGCAGAGGAGAGGCAATCCCACCTTTGGAGGAGAGTGTCCTCCCCTTCCTTAGCCTCTCCCCTCTCTTGGGCCCTCTTAAAGCCCATCCTGACTTCTAAAGAATCTTGACCTCATGTGATCTCCACTTAAAAAGAAATTATGGTAAAATAAGACAAGATTTACCATCTTAATTTCTAAGATTCAGCTCAGTGGTGTTAAGTACATTCACACTCTGCGCAACCACCACTACCATCCATCTGCAGAACGCTTCCTTTTGCAAAATCGAACACCATCCCTGCTAACCACTAATTCCCCATTTCCTCTCCCCCTAGTGACCCACATTCTGCTTTCTCGTTTATGAGTGTGACTGCTCTAGGGCCTCATGTAGGTAGAACCATGTAGTGTCTCTCCTTTTGTGTCACTTAGCATAATGTCCTCAAGGGTCATCCATGTTGTCTCATGGGTCAGAATTCCCTTCCTTTTTAAGGCTGAATAATATCCCACTGAATACACAGGCCACATTTTGCTTATCCATCTCCATCAGGGGACATTTGGGTGGCTTCTCCTTTTTAGCTATTGTGAACGACGCTGCTATGAACACGGGTGTACAGATATCCAGTTGAGACCCCCCTCCCACTTTACAGTTCTTTTTAGATATATACCCTGAAATGAGAATGCTGGATCATATCGTAATCCTATTTTTAATTTTTGGAGGGCACAATCCTTTTAATACTGTATAATATTCCTTTATCAGTTTCTTCTATTTGAAGAACAATACGTTTCTTTAACTATTTTCCTTTGGAAAGCTTTTTTCTCCATTTTCACTATTATCGTGATTCAGCAAAATCCTTGTGTATACTTCTTTGCAGAAAGAAGTGTATTTCCTTAAGAATGTTCTTAACTGTATTTTTGGCTGTTTCTTTTTTTAGCTCATTATAACAAGAAAACATGAAGAGATTCATGAGATTCAGTTAATACTAACCGCCAACCACTACATCAATCCTGCCCCCATGAGGCAACTGGAGGAACAGCCTCTTATGTTTTTTATGTTTAAAAGTCTTAAACACATGTACACATTCTTGTATACATCCAGCCAGCCATCTAGCTCTGTGTGTGTGTTTAATGCATCCTTACCCCGTGGTGTGGGGTTGTACTATGTGTATGACTTTGCAATGTACCTTTTTGTTCCTCCAAGTCAAGATACATGGCTCTAACTTAGAATTTTTAAGTTTCTGTATAGTCCTCCACATTATAGTATGTGCTATGATTTATCCAACCATTCCTTTAAGAGGCATTTTCAGTTTTGCTACGATAAACACTGCAGCAGTAAACAGTTCAGACACCATTACTGATTATTTTACTGTCTTATAGGCCGGTTTCCCAGAAGAATTGCTGCAAGATAAAAAGGCATGTGCACTTGTATCCTTAAATAGCACTACAAGGTTCATTTCCTGAAAGGTTATTTGCAGTAATTTGCATACAAAGCACCAATATATGACAGTATCTATTTTCCCAAATCAATACCAGCACTAAGTATTAACACATTTTAATCATTGCCAAATATATGGGCAGAACAGAAAATCTGAAGGGTGCGTTTACATTTTTCTGGTTTCAGTGAGGCCTGCCATCTCTGCACACATCCAGTGCCTGTCTGGGCTTCTGCTGTCAGTCAACTGTTCTTATCTTTTGCCCCGTTTAGGGAGGAGGGTAAAGACTGTCCTTTTCTTTTTATGCTATAGGTTCTCTTTGTTTTTGTTTTGCTTGTTTTAGTTTTAACTTTTATTTGAACAAGGAAGACTTGCACATAGGACCATTCTAAAAGGTACAAAGAGGACACACAGTACCCTCGTTGGAAGGAAAAACTACCCTTCCACCCATCTTGTCCCTTTCCCTAGAGGCAACCCGCGCTACTAGTTCCCCAGCCAACTGTTTTTTATTTTTAACCACGATATAGTGGAGATTGTTCCAAATCGGAACATTAAGAGCTTTGTGGAAGCTCTCTGGGGTCTGGAAAACTACCTCGTTTTCTGATATATGTGTATATTGGTTCTTACTTTTCTTAGTTATCTTTTTTCACACAATCATATTAAATGTTATACAACCAAATATTTCTAACTTTTCTTCTATGGCTTAAGAGTTTTGGAAACTTGCCTAAGAAGTTCTCCTTCCATCTCCAAGGTTATACAGATATTCTCCTCCTATATTTTCTTCTGGTGTTTTCATTGTCCCTATTAAGAGATGTTTTACACACCATGTCTTCAATTTACCCAAGTTTATTTGTGCCTTTGGTATGAGGTGGAGGTGAAGCTTTGCTTGTGTTTTCCAGATTGTGTAAATAATTACGTTTATGCAAGCATCCTTTATCTACTGAATTGTTACATACATCACACTACTGCACACAGACAATTTCTGAGTCGCAAAATGAGAATCAGCCAATGTTACAGATACAAGTGGCCAGCAATGTTTCTGCTATGGTCTGAATGCGTCCCCCCAAAATCCATATGCTGTAAACCTAAGCCCAAGGCGATGGCATTAGGAGGTGATTAGGTCATGGGGATGACCTCGTGAATTGATTAGGGCCCTTGTTAAAGAGACTCCAGAGAGCTCCTCACCCTATCCGCCCTGGGAGGACCCATGAGAAGGGTCCCTCTCCTGACTGTGCTGGAACCCTGATCCGGTGCTTCCTGCCTCTAGAAATGTGGAAATCAGTGTCCATCGCTTAGAGGCCACCCAGTCTGTGGTGCTGTTACAGCCCGGAGGGAATGGGACGGTGAGGTCCCTTCCAAACCTACACATCCGCGTTAAGGACAAACGAGGGGGAGTTGGGGGGCAGGAGGAGGAAGGCACTGGGCCCCGGGATGAGCGTGGACGCAGGCCCGGGCGCGGGGCCGCGCGGCCGCCGACTTACGCCGTGGAGCTTCATGTAGAGGCCGCAGGCGTTGCAGACGGGCTCGCCCTCGGCGTTGCGGCGCCACAGCGTGGTGGTGGTGGTCTGGCAGTTGGCGCAGGAGAGGCCCACTCGGCGGGAGGCGGACTGCAACACAGGACACGACCCTTCAGGCCCAGGGAAGGGGCTGCGGGCGCCTCCCGGGCGGCAGGCGGCCCTGAGCACCCACCCCGTGAGAACCTGGGGCGGCCACGGCGCCCCCCTCGGGGGGCGAGGGGGCAACGAGAACCAGGGCTCTGCCCCAGAGGGGGCGTGAACCCTAGTCCTGACTGTGGCATCAGTGGCATCATTAGCGGTGCGGAAATGTCCCACAAAAAGCCCAGCGAACTCTGGGCTCTGTAGGCAGAAAAGCTTCTCCCAGAAAAAGAATTCATGTGGGCTAGGAAATGCTGCATCCACATGGCATCACAGCCTGGGTGTGCCTTGGGGACCCCAGAAGGAGAAGTTCGGGGTGTATCCCCTGTGCCTGCCGCTCCCTAACACAGGTGAGCGCTCGTTAGTGTCAGTCAAAGTCCAGTTACAGTAGGAGAGATGGGAGAACCCCGAGCCTAAGCCTCAGCGCCCCGCCCGGGCCGACACGCACTGCTTCAGGCCCCCGGGCGTCGGTCTTGCTGACTGGGTGACTGAGCACAGGGTAGGTAGTGTGCAGGGGAAGAGCCGACCTCCCTCGGGGTCCAATGAACACAGGAGACATACGTCACTGGACGGGGAGCTAGGAGGCCTGGACTCCGTTCCTGAGCGGGGTCTCGGGGTCTGTGTGACTGCAGGCAAGGCACTCGCTGTCCTGAGCCCCACTTTTCACCTCTGCATAGCTAAGGGGCTGCACTGGGTGCCCTGGAACATCCCTGCAGCTCCCACTAACTGTCCAGGTGTGAGAGATGATCATGTTGCCCTCCGCCGACCCCACCACCCAAGCCCTCCACCTGCGCCCTCATTCAGAGGTGACTGGAAGTCCAACGTTCAGCACCAGGGGATTCCCGCCAAGGCGGGGGGAGCCCTGAAGCCAAGCACGAGACGGGGGGAGGAGGGGAGCCCCACCCCACCCGGCTGCTGGACTCAGCAGTGGGGCCCCTGCTTACCAGCCGGCGCTGAGGCTTGATGAGGGGCCGGTTGATGCCGTTCATCTTGTGGTAGAGGCCGCAGGCATTGCACAGGTAGTGCCCGGTGCCGTCACGCCGCCAGAGGGGGGTGGACATGGCCCCGCAGTTGACACACTCTCTGCCTTCTGAGAAGTCATCGAACATGTCTACTGGGTGGGAGGTAATGCGGAGCATTAGTTCTTTGGTTAAGGCCAGGAACCTTTTGTGGGAGAATCTGGGGACCAAAGGAAGAAGCCCTTCCATTGCAAGGAGTGCCGTGGACCACCCTGACCGCCTGCTCCTCCTCACTCTGACCCCAGCCCCTGGGGACCGGCTCAGGGGACTGTCGTGGGAAAGGGACATGGAACTTCCTGGCATCCTGGACCCGGCTGGGCCCTTGCTGGTCATGAGAAAAGGAAGGGAGTTGGGCAGCGGCCACCAGCAGCCTGGCTTTTTGTCCCTCTCTCTCCTTCATAGCCTGTGGCCCTCAAGTTCTCACCTGAGTTCCACTCAGACCTTGTTTCTCTCCTTTTGTTTCCCTTTCCATAAAAATATAATAAATATTTATACCTTGAGAAAATTAAAAACACCAAAATATGTAAAGAAACTGTAAACCCTATGTAATCCTTTAACCCAAAGGTCATGGGTGTTTTTAACATTCTGTTCTGTTATATCCTTTGCAGTACTTAATGTCATTGACATATATTTTTGCCTAGTCAAGGTCAGGCTACATTAATTTTGAGCCTCTTTTTTCACTTAATACCAAAGCATTTTCCCACATTAAAAATTCTTTGTGAACTCATTTAGTGCAGTATTGTCTCTCACCCCATAAATGTGCCAACCCCTAACCATTATCCCTGCACTTTCACTTAATCATTACAGTCTCTGATTTTTGTTTTGCAAGTACTGCTCATTTTGCACATGATCTTAGCCCTTCTGGTTGTCAGGATTCTCTCTCAGAAGTGGGATTACTGAGCCAAAAGGGACTACATGTTTTGAAGGTTTTGAAATTTTCAAACGGCCCTGCAAAAATAACAATAATTCGTTTTTCTCATTTCAGGTTATCTGCACGTTATGCTGTATCAAAGTTTGACATTTTTTCTTGCCTACTGGTACATAAAACAAAGGCGGGTTATTGTGAGCAACAGCGACTGAGGGCTGATCACACTTCCCCAGGAAAGCTGCCCCACTGCCTCCTGCACTCACGCGTATGCCCTCCCTCCCCCTCGTGTCTACAGAATGTTACAGTTTACAGATTTCACTGCATTCATTTCAGTAGCCCTGGTGAGATAGGTTGGGCCAGTTTCCTATTCCCTATGATCTACATAAAGCCTGGCTCAGAACTTCCAGAAGTCTCTCTGACTCACATTCTGAAAAAAAACTGTATATCCTTCCCAAATTTTCTGTCCCTAAATACAGCTACTCTGGTGTCCAGATTGTTCTTGTCCGCCCACCCGGGGTAAGAGTGAATTCTTCTCCAGTGAAGTGGAGAGGGAATTGGAGGGGCGGGTTCTGAAGCCCTGTCCCTCCATCAGGACCTGGCCCTGGGGTTAAGGGCCCTCCTTCGGCTCCTTCTGTGGCCCAGCTACCGGTCCTGCAGGAACGTGGGCAGAAGGGGGGCCTCCCCTCAGCTTTGGGTACACAAACAGTCATTTGCACCTGCAAACAAGTAGCTGTGTGTCCACACCGAGTCAATAATGTGCAGGTGTGAGGGGCTGTTTGCTCAGACCAGGGAGCCGAGCACACCCCGGTCACAAGAGAGGCTATTTTTGCACCTGGGTCACACTGAGAACCCTTGGGCAAGGTCACCTGCTTTCAAAGCCGCACATGAATTAGCAACTCCAGTCCACCGTTTGCTTCGCGAGGGGCTAAGGGAGGCGTGGGGCGAGCGACGCCATCATCGCCACCCCCTCTTCCGTGCCTGGTGCGCGTCGCCCTTGCCTCTGCGGCGCTGGCCTTCCCGGGAGGGAACGGAAGAGGCCTGGGGAGCTCGCAGGCGAGTCCCGGACCGAAGGGGCGCCGGCAATGCCGTCATTTTGTTGGGTGTTTGCAATAAACACTAGATGGCGCTACAGCCTCAAATTTCGACCGAGACCCCTGCCTGTCCAAATTCCACACGCAGATGACTGTTTCAGGTTGTTCATCCAAACCTAGCACAACCCTCTTCTTCTTTTAACGGAAAAACTTGAACATATTCAAGTGGACAGAATATAAAAATGAACTCTTATGTAATCACCGATTTGTGTCCAAACTTGTCTCCTGTATACCCACCCACCTTCCCCTCCTGCGTAACTGAACAAAAGCCCCAGATGGCCCATCATCTCATTCATAAATAATTCCGTATGTAGCGCTCACTGATGACTCACGCTCTTCTGAAAGACAGGCAAACCGGCCTCTTTCCTATGTTCCCGTTTACCTAAAGGCTCCACCGACCTTCCCTCTCTTTTGGAGGGACATCCCCCCTTTTCTCTTCATTCTTACTGTTTTCTTTGTGGGGACAGGATCTCACTGCAATCAACGTGCTCTCTGCTGCTTCCTGGCCTTACGCGGTCCTGAGAACCCAACAGAAAGGTTCGCTCAGGACCTCCTTCACACTGGCCACACGGATTGGGTTCCACACTCTAACAGCTATTTTCCTGGCCAGAAAAGGGCACTGGAGGTCGGCAAATACTAGACATTTGGGCCAGAATATCAATAGTGACACTGTTATTACTCAGTTCATTTTCGGAACATACCGCAGTGGGTGGCAGGTACCTCTTGTCTCGGGTGGGAAGTGTGGAAGTGCCACCCAGGCTGACGGGTCAGATGTGACCACGACAGACAAAGGAAGACACAGTGGATGGCAGGCCAAGGCCATGCTTCCGGAAGGCCCCCAGCAGATGCACCACGTCCCCCCACAACCCACTATGCCCCCGAATCTGCAGACCTTTCTACCAGAAAGCCTTGCCATCCTACTACTCAGTGAAATGTCATGTAATTTTAAATGACTACAAAGACAATGAAACAAAGTTGAAAAATGCGTATTCCACATGTTGAACAGAAAATGCATCACACAGAACACCCTAGGCACTGTGATGGCAGCTAAGATCACCAGGTAGGAGCTTTGGTTAGCCTAGTTAAATTGTGTGGACTTTTTAAAGAACAAAATGAAGTGTGCCGTAATCTGTAATTTCCTAATTGTCTATTTTTAAATATCTGATTAAAAAAAAAAACATTTCTGATCACTTCAAGCAGTTCCCACTCCACTATAGGGAAGGGAAGGATTTTACACCCCTACAGCTGACACACATCATTTTTCCTCCCTTGGACTGCAGAAAGGAAAGATGAAGCTCAGACCCTGACGTGACACCCACTCTGGGGGACGAGGCAGGTGACAAGCAGGGAGCCCCAAATCAGCACTAAAGAGCCTGGCAGTGTGAACCTTGGTAACTACTGTCTTATTCCTTCATTAGAAATGCACTGGGTGGGACCTCCGGGGGCAAGTGGGTAGTGGCCTGTGGCCAGTTTCCAAGCCTGACTTCAAATTGGAAGGGCACAGCTATGGCCTTGACTCATGAAACCCCACCAACTGGTACAGGGTGACCTGGGCCCCGGTCCAGCCACTTAGGAGGGAGTGGGAATCCAACCCTCTCGGAAGTGGGTCAGCATTACACCACATTCAGAGGAAAGACTTGTAATAATAGTTGTAAAGTACTTTGCAAATAAGAGGAAAAACTCACAACAATGGCCCGAAAGTGCTTTGCAAACACCAAATGAGATAACAATGATGGATTATTGTTAGGGTTGGCAGGACGGAGGGGACGGGAGGGAGTGGGGAAGACCAGGGACGGACCTTGGTTCTGGGTTACTGCTGGTGGGTGAGTGGGTGAGGGGAGATAAAAGAGCTAGGAGATTGGGGAATCTGACCTTTTCTCAAATCCCTGGGCCAAGCTCAGAATTGTAAATCATTCATCACTCTTAGACTTGGCCAAGTTCGATACTTGCGGGCAGGGACGACCTGGCGGCGGGGCGGACGGTGCACACTGAAAAGGCCTTAAAGCTGCCGTTAACGGGAAACATCCCTGAAGGATTATTTTAGCCATCAGAAGCACAAAATGAAGTGTGCCCTACTCTCCAAAATGGGGATCAAATGCCTGGCTTCTATCCGTGTCCCACTTTAAAACAAATTTTTTAAAGAGGCAAAGAAACTACTTGATTTCTTAGATATCCGATTTAATATGGATATTCCCTGGATTTAATAAGGCAGACTGCTCCCACCCAAGTGCCTGGAAGAAAAATGTGGGCCAGAAGGTTGAAGGACCCACCCCTTTCTTCCCCAGAACTGACGCAACCAAAGGCAGCGCGTCTGACCTCTCGCCTGACCTGCTCCATCCATCTCGGGACCGCCCACAGGCAGGGGTAAGCGAGTGGCCGGGAGCTGGGGAGCGGAAGGCGGGCGAGCCAGAAGAAGCTGGAAGAAGGGAGAGGAATCAGAGGCCAGGGTCATGGTTGGCAACACCCGCCTGAGCACTGCCCAGAGCTGGCTCTGCCCCCCGACGGCGCCAGCACGTGTGTGCAGGCCCGCCAAGGCGGCACCGTGGGGCCTGGTTCTTCGGAGGGGCCCCTCAGGCCTCAGTGGGTGGAAAGCTGGGTCGTGGGCAGGGCCCACGCTGCACAGCCCCTCTCCTCGGCCCTCGGAAGCTGAGGGCATGTGGTCCCAGGCCCCGTTTCCGTGGGCGAGGCAGCCCGCACAGTGGCCACGTGCCTGCTCCGCTTGCCCATAGCCCAAGCTGCACAGACAGCTACATTAGACAGGAGTGGGGCAAAGTCCCTCCCCAAAGCTCGTTTGGTCTAGCTAGGGACCCACAGCTCAGAACAAATAATTACATTAAATGTGACAAATTGCGATGGCGCCTGGGCTTTGTCACTTGCCCCGCCCCGGCTGCACATGCGCAGCCGTCCTGGCTCAGTCTTCCGTCTGTTCGCGGAGGGAAGACAGAAACACGAGGGAAGCTGTCCATGCCCTGGGCAGCTGTTCAGCGCTGCGAGTAGAGGCCAGGGGGGATCACGGCCGGGCAGGGAGAGGGGAGGGGCCTGCCTGGAGACCTCCCTGGAGGCAAAGGGGCTTCAGGCACAAAGTCCCCAGCCCCACCCCTATGTCCCTTGCTGAACCCCGGCCCCGCGTCCCAGC